CAATCGACTATATAAAACCAATATCTATAAAACCGGCTTCTATAAATTCGACCTAATTTCGTAGTGTAGACATACCCTTAGTCTTTAAGTACTTACCATATCATCACTCGTCTGAGCATCAGTCTGAGCTTTATGGTCTTCACATGGCCCATTCTGCCTTTCTTTTTCTGGACTGTTGGCTTGACTGTGGCTGGTGGTCAAGGTGGACAGTTCGTGATTATTCTGGAGTGGGGGAGGAGGAGGTGAAGATAAGGATGGGGGTAATATGGGTGCTGTATTGGTCTCATCCAGTAACAAACATATCATATCTCCAGAAACTATCCCATATGAAGCCAAGGTCTCATGGTCTCCAGTGAGGGCATCTTTGTTGTTCAATGTTATTGCAAACTGGGTATCAGAACTGCAAAGAGATAGAAAAAACCACAAGGCCATGTCTGGTAGGATCAGTTTAAGTCATACATTCAGATTACACAAATGTATGGTGTGATTATTAAATGGTTTTGTTAAACCTAAGTACCGGTCTGATTAGTCACATGCCCAAAGAAGCACTGGGAAAATAAACGATGGGCACAGTATAAAACCAAGATACAGGTTAAAGTGATTTTTTTAACCTCTCTCTCTTTGTTATGTTTGTTTTAACTAACTAAATCACAGAACCTAGAAATCTTGGATAGGTTTAAACCTCCATCTCTGAAAAACAGGTAACTGCCTCTGTCTGCAATGAACCTTATAAACACATTCTAGGAAGCAGCCAATTGCCCCCAAAACTAACACTAGCTTCAGTAGCTTTAGGTCAAAGATTTTAAATGAATCACTGGGGCAGAGTATATTTAAAATAGTTAATTCCTGAAAATATTTCTATGCAAATATCCTTTAGCTTGCTCAATGTGAAGGTCTTTGGGCAAGACCTTGCAAAACAAAGTCTTCCCAGAGACAAAGATTCCATGACATTTTAATAAGATTAATGGTTTGTCCTGATGTCTTAGGACAGGGGTTCTCAAACTGGGGGTCAGGACCCCTCAGGGGGTCTCGAGGATATTACATAGGGGGTCACGAGCTGTCAGCCTCCACCCCAAACCCTGCTTTGCCTCCAGCATTTATAACAATGTTAAATATCTTTAAAAGTGTTTTTAATGTATATGGGGGGGTGGGGTCGCACTCAGAGGCTTGCTTTGTGAAAGGGGTCACCTGTACAAAAGTTTGAGAACCACTGTCTTTGGACAAGCTCCCCCTCCCCATGCTGTTGTGCAGCATGCATCGTGCTGCTAGCACATGTATATACCGCTTGTGAAGCACTCTGGGATCCTTCAGAATGAATATGAAATATATACACACGAAAACATGAATGCAAATATTTTGTTGCGGTTAGCCTGTTGAAGAAGTTCATTTTTTATTTTTAAAAATCATTTAATAGCTTTTAGTCTCCTGTAAACAAAATCACGAGCCTTTCACACACAAATCTTTTCATGATTGCTGACACACAGAGCCCCCTCTAGGAGAAGGCTATATAGCCATACTCTAGCAGCTTGTGTCACACAGAGGAAAAGTTCAATTTTGGTCCATAAAAGTTGTACAATCGGAACTGAGTTGAGCATTTCAGAGGGGTGTTTGAGAATAACTTTCACTTTTTGCAAACTCTCTACTGCCTCTTTCATTTCATTTCCATTTTGGTGCTGTGGGATAAATGAAACCGAAAGCTAGGAATCCGATGACTAAACACGGGGCATTTTATCCTCTTTTACTTCTGACACGTGATTTTTTTGGCGAACGGTTCGGAAGTGACAGCTCTGGATCACGTACAATCCTATTGCCCACAGCTCGGGCGCCGCAGCGGGGTAATCTCCCAGCCTGTGCCTCAGCCGAGGGAGGGCGGAACCCCCAGACAGGGTAGTAGCGGCCCGAGGCCTGGCCACAGCGTTGCCAACCCCAAGTGCCCAAAACTCATGAGCCAGGCCCCACAAAACCATGCGAGGGTCCGAACCGTTCAGGCGGGGCCCGGCCGCTGCGCGGGCGTGTGCCCTTGGCAGGCGCTGCGCTGCGCCTGCTGCCGGGCTGTTCTCCGCGGCCAGGCGGGCTAGGAGCGCGACTGCACCGCCCCAGCGCCCCACGGGCTCTACGGGAACCAGGAGACTCGGGATAAAACCCCGAGGCCTGGAAACGCTGCAGCCGGGCCTGGGGCCCGCTGCGCTGACAGTCACCCTCGCCCTTTCCCCGCGGCCTCGGGGCGCTGCCCGCGGGGGGAGCGCCGTGCCCAGCAGCACCACACACCGGGCACCTCAGGAGAAGCCCCGCCCCCGGGGGCAGCAAGTTCCCCCGCAGGCGGGCCTGGGCAAGATGGCTGGGTCAGAGGCACAGGGCACGGCCCCGCCCCCCCGCACTGCATGGTACTGGCCGGGTGCTACCTGCCGGCCTCGGGATGGCCGCGTCCCCCTCCCCTTGCGCTACCTGTAGCCCCAAGTGGGCAGCAGGGCCTGGCACAGGTGCGCGCGCAGCTCCCCCAGCGTTGGCTCCGCCCCCTGCATCTCGAGCGGGGCCGTCCGCTTATGCATCCGGACCCGGAGCTTCATGGCGGCAGCGGCTCCTCGCTCCCCCGTCAGGCTCTGCTCTGCCCGCTCGGTGTTGGCGACGGCGGTGGCGCGGGGGCTGCTGGGGATTGTTGTTGTTTTGGTTGGTGAAGCATCACCTCGCTCCATGGGAGCCCGGCCCCGCCCCTAGGTGTTCATGGGGGCGGCCCCCGCCCAGCTCTCCCCACCAACGGTAACGCTGAGGGGCGATGAGTCGGCGCTCACCGCAGCACCTGCGCACTTCCGAGCATGCACGCTGGGGGAAAGGCTCGCGTCCGCCCAGCTCGAGCGATGATTCGGTGCTCGCCCTGCTGCCCCGCACGCGTTCTGGATGCAAGCCTAGGGCGAGAGCGCGAGGCTACTGCCTGTGACGGTGGGAAACCACGTGGCCAGCCTGTGCTGCTGCTTTGGGGCATCAGCTGTCAGCTCCTCTCCCAGTGATGGCCACCCATCGCTCCCTGACCCTGAGGGGATGCTGAGTGGGTGAGGAGGGCCCGGCCCCGCATCCATGACCTCATGCTTGGCCCTGCCAGACCTAGGGGCCGGGCATCCCCTCCCAGGCCTCATCCCTCTCTGCAGCGTTACCAGCAGTATTGCTAAAGCTGAGTATTAATATGCCCGAGTCTGCCCCAACCTACCAGTCCCTCCTTCCTCCCCCCCCCCAAAAAATGGCAGAAAGGCAGTTGGCAACTTTTCTCCAGCCCAGGTACAATCCAGTGGTTACAATCCAGCCATAAGCAGCATTAGCTGATAAAGAAAGCAAAACTGCTATGCAAAATTGACTAATTTTAAAAAAATCTAATTATAAAATTAGTGGATGAAACGGAAGTAGTGGGTAGAACATGTCTTGACTCATATTCAGCAATGCGTCTGCTAGTATCTCATGAAATCTTCCTCCAGAGTGTCAGGGCTTGCCACAGCAAAACACCAGTTGACTTCCTTGGGGAAAAGACTGGACTGAATATTAGCAGTGTCAGATCAATTGTAAACTCTGAAGTACCATCAAATGGAAGAGATTCTCAGCTTGGATAGTGGCTGAAGGGATTGCTCCAGAATTCTTGCCTATTCCTGTTGATTTTTATTATTATATTGCAAAGAAGCTGGCCTGTCCATAACATCCCTGAAAATTCATCCATCTGCATGTCTTTTACCTGCCTTGTGTTTTTTCCCCACTCTACAGTTTCATGCATCTTTAAAGACTTTACCCCTTATAAGCATATTCCTGCTCGGGACTTGAACTTGCTGCTAACAAAGTTTATGGATTTCAGAGTAGCAGCCATGTTAGTCTGTATCCGCAAAAAGAACAGGAGTACTTGTGGCACCTTAGAGACTAACAAATTTATTAGAGCATAAGCTTTTGTGGACTACAGCCCACTTGAGCTTCCTGTGGATTGCTCTTTGGATTACCTGTCTCACACAACTTTCTTTATAGTTATCATTGCTGCCAGGAGCATCAGTGAGTTGCAAGCTCTGATGGTGGTGTTACCCTAAGAGCCAAGTGGTCTTACATGCCAACCCAAAATGTATTCCTAAAGTGTGATGGACTTTCATATTAACCCATCTATCTCCCTCCTGGTCTTCTTCCCAACCTTGCACTCAGACCTGGGGGGAGACCTGTCTCCACATCTTAGATATGAAGAATGTATTTGTTTTTATCTAGAGAGATATAAGCTCTCCCAAAAGTCCAGTAGGTTGTTTGTCGTGTATGGGGAGAAATGTAAAAGGTAGGGATTTCGACTCACAGATTAGCCAAGTAGATTGTTTTATGCATTTGATTGTGCTATTCTGTGTCTAGGATCCCCTACCAACAAGAATTGAGGCCTACACCACTAGTGCTATGGACGCTTCTTTGGCCTATCTTTAGGCTAGTACCCATTGGTGACATTTGCAGAGCAGAGACTTGAAGTTTAATTCCCACCTTCACTAAGCACTACCCTTTAGGCTTAATCTCTGGTTCAAATGCTGAGGTTTGGGAATTTGGTGCTTCAGCCTCTGTTCATCTCACAACTCCTCAGCCCACCTTCCATCTTGGATGGTACTGCTTGTTAGGCACCCACTAATAGTGGTTCGGTGAGCTTATCATGAGGGGTACCAATCCCTGAAATATGAATGCACAGAATCAACTCTTAAACACCAGTTACCAGTAATAACCTTTCTCTCTTTTTCTCCAAAAAAATTCTCTTGCAGGAAGTTATCTGCAACCTGGGACTGTTGACAGCTGGAGCAGCATGTTTTCCCTAGGAGAATGGCCAGGCTGACTTTCTGTTTATAAAGAAACACAGCCCTTATTGGTCTTGCAGCAAGCAAAAGAGACAGGGTTAAGGTGAAGCAAGCTTGGGATACTTTACAAAGGTATAAAAAGTACAGCAATGGTGGGTAAACCTCAGGTAAACCTTTTGTATATTCACCTCAAAGTACAGCTTATTCAAACGTTACATCTCTTTGGTCTGCAAAGCTCATGGGAACAGGCTTATCTTTGCTGTTTCAGCACTTTCTGGTTCTCTCAGCCAGCTGTAAACAGGGACTGCAGAGGGGTGAAAAAAATTATAACGTGCCTAAAACTGAGGCACAAAAGTCCTGTACTGTGTCCCATTTTACCGAATTTCTCTGCAGGAAAAGGAGACTGAAGTAAAGAGGAAAGAAAAAGGGAATTCAAAGGAAAGTTTTGTTTTGGTGGTTGAATATCCCTTTTTGGTCAGTGACAGACCTGGTACTTATTATGGTCTCCTTTATGCCATGGATGATAGTATCATGACATTTTGAGCAATATTTTAAGCATCTTTCCTCACAATCCAGGGTACTGATAGAAAGTAATGTGGCACTATTTCTGCAGTGTTGGAAGAATGGTAGGCCAGCCTGGTCATAATCAGAGAGCCAGATATGTCAAACATGAGTGTAAACTTCTGCAGGTGTGTTAATTAATCTCACTATAAACCAGGTGAGGTGAGCAACACAATACAAGATGCAAGCATACACTCCACACAACATTAGGTATTAACTTAGCAGGAAAAACTCCATACAAAGAAACGATTGATCACAATGGAAAAGTTAAAATGCTTTGTGTAGCTTCAAAGCTTTATCCACACTAAAATTAAAATGACTCATAACCACCAATCCCTTAGGCACATCCTCTGAATTGTGTTTATAGCATTTCAGGCTCCTGCTTCATGAGCCTTTGTAAGTAAAGCGGAATTTAAGCCTTGTTACGTAAGACAGAAGTACCAGTTTAGCTTTAGCAGTGGTGATTTTAAACAGATGCAGTTAAACTTGTCCAAAAAGCTGTGTTGACACTCTTATTTTGACTTAAACCAGATTTATTTCCATTTAGCTTGTTGACTAAAAATCAACTGAAGGTAAACCAAAATGAGCCACTCTTAAATCTAAATAAGAGGGTCCACAGAGGGCTTTGCACTAGTTTAACTAAATCTGTTTGAAAACCAATTGAAGTTAAATAGGTGCAATTTTCTCATGTAGCTAAGGCCTTCATTTTAGACCACGCTCCCTCATAAATCTTAAAATGAGGATGGGATTTCACAACTATCAGCACCTCCCTTGGTACCTTTAAGGATAAACTATCAAAAAGGAAAGGAGTCATAAGTATACTACTTCCTCTTTCCCTTCCACATTTTTGTAAAGAGGCTGGCATTTGACTAAAAGTACACATCGGTAAGCATTAGACCTTCCTGCGCAAATATAAAGTTTACTCAGGGAGGAAAGGCAGGCATCGAGCCAAACCAAGAATTAACCAGTTTAAGAACCTTCAAAATCTCCACTCTCCCCAGCCAAAAGAAATGGATATAAATGGGATTTCAAGCTCTTTAACATGATGCTAAGCCCCAGTGACACAAGGGGTTATTCTCTGAGAGGGGTTCATGTCTAGAGAACCTCTAGCATGAGCAGGATTGAAATGACAAAAGAAGGTGTTCCTTGATTAGGAGTCACTAAAGGCACCGTGGCTCATAGACTCATTGTTCTAATTACTACTTTTTTGAACAGAGTTAAAATTTGAAACTTGCTATGGACATCCTTGTAGATGATGTGCTCTCTTAAATTTGTGGTCACTAACGAAGAATTTTAAAAATAAAAGGTTATAAGCAACTGAAATGTCATTTCTGGGCAGGGTCAGTGGGCATTTCATATGATTTTCTTACAAACCAAGGAACAGTTGAAAATTCCGGGCATGCATAAAATCAGTAGTTCTCACCATTAGGCTCGATTTTGCAATATCCTGAAACTGAGTTTTAATTTAAAATAAAAATCTACATTTCTTGTTTATGTTTCTGTTAAGAATATATAGCCATCTGTATTAGGTTCCTCCTGTGCCTGAGGCTGTGCAGTCATGAACTCCACTTCTGGAGATGGTCAAGAGTTGGGCAAACGCCTGTGAGGGGCATTCCCCTTCAGGAGTCACCCAAGCTACAATCCTCCATCTGGGGTCTGCACTGCAGACACTCCAAGGCCATGATTTAGCCCCTAGGTCTCTTACACAGAAAAGCAAGGATTTGCAGGTCAGGCTTATGAGGGAAGACTCTAAGAGTGTTTCTTCTTTCTGCTACTCAGAACTGAATTCACAGAGTGGTCTCATTAGAGACATTTAAAAAGGGATTTTTACCTTCCTGTTTTTGGACTTGATGCCTTTGTGTAAGCAGCCCAAAATATATTGGCCCAGATAGTCACAGGCTGATCCCTAGATACAGAGAGATTTCCTCATGAAGATCATCCCTGACACGCAGAGAACAATCTCCTCTGTAAAACTATCCCTAGGAACCTATGCAGATCTTTGCATATGGTCAGGATCTACACAGGGAAAGGGTTGGAGACTATGCAGAATAGGTAACATTTACTATAACAGTTTATTATTTGTATTGCAGTGATGCCCAGAGGCCTCAGTGAGAGTCAGGACCCGACTGCGCTAGAGGCACAACATACAGGAAGGCATGGCTCCTGCTCCAAAGAGATTTCAATCTAATTTAAGACAAGTTGCAACCAATGAGTGTGATAAATAATGGGAGGACTGGAGGAGAGAAGAGAAGGTTAACAGTCATAAGTTAAGGCTGGTACATAGGCTTACTGTGTGCTCAACTTGAAGGTTTCAAATCATGTGAGTGGTGGTAGTTTTTAAATAAATAAATAAAATCAGCTGTCCACAACTGCTGCTCAACCTAGTCATCATTAGCTGTCTGATTTCTTTAGGCATCATGGCTGTATTATCTATTTTACAGCTCTGTGCTGCAGAATAGTTTTTCTGGAGCTTGCTTCTCAGCATCAAAAGCCCCTATTAAGGGTGTCCCCAGAGCTGCATCAGGCAGGGAAAGCCCTGGTAATGTGTCTCCTTTGGGAGCCCTGCTAAGGAGCACCAGGGGCCCCAGAGCTAGTGCAAAGGCACAAGTACTCCATGCAGATAGAGTCCACAGAAGGTAATTGCTTTCTGCAAATCTCACTCAATCTGCTAGATTCAAGGAGTAGAACAACCGCTTATCCTGGAGGTGGGTTGGGGGTAGCATTGCTTCCCTTGTGGAATGGAGGAAACTCCACAAGGAAAGCCTCATGGAGTTTTCTTCTCCTCAGGCCCTCTCCCATGGGTATTTCCACTAGTGGTATGGATGGGGATACAAGTCTTTTTACACATATAGCAAGCTCATATCTATTTTGCTGTTGACTATTCCCCATAGGTCTCTGAGCATTCCTGGTAGTGTCCCTCTCCCATCATCTAGCTAGGTTTTAGATTCATTTCCCCCAACTATATTAGTTGGCATTTTTCCAGGTTGAATTTCAAGTGTACATGAAGCATTAAATCTTCTAGCTATTGAATCCTTTCTGATCTGTTTTTATTGTTTCCCTGTTCACTGAACATGCTCCTCTGTGTGCCACAGTTGGAAAGATTGGAGTAAAAGAAGAACTGAATAAAACAGCTGGGTTGTGTGCTAAAGGCAGGTAATGGGGTAGTGCGAAGCTAAAGTGCTCTGCTGGAGCACAGGCCAGGTAAATGCTTTGTTAATTTACATATTTGGGTCAGTTGTGCTTTTCTTTGTGTACAGTTGGGATTTCTTGTTTGAACTGAGGATCAGCACTATGGAGAAGAAGAGAAAACTCTTCAGTGCGAAGCCTCCTGTCCCAGCATGGATTGCCGGTGAAGAATTTTGAGAACAAGGTGGTAGAATATTTTTGTAGAAGTAGCTTCATAGAATGTTGGAATTGTGGTCATTTTAAGATCTGATTTGGCTTTATGTGACTGTCATAGCAGTACACGACTTGCTGTATCAGAAGCTGTTTTGGAGCCTTTGGTCTGTCTTTGTTAGCACACAGGTTGGTTTAAGTGGTAACCTTTACTGAAAGTTATCTAAACTTTTAGGGCTATCAGTCACAAAGAAGCCATAAAACATCAAACAGGAGAGCCCAGACTGTTTTATCTGCACACTTGTAAATACAGTAACTCATTAGGATGAGACTTATAAATGTACATAGATAGAAACAAATGAGTTTTTCTTTCTCTTCTTACACTTAAGGTAAAAAGAAGAGAGAAAAAAATAAAGGAATGTTTCATTTAAATGAGGTAGTTGTTTTAGTCCTATTCCGTTACTGGAGACAAATATCAGAGCAATTTTGTGTGCCACTTTCTGAGGTCAACATTTACCTTGCATATTATATGATTACTCTAGGTAAGGTTTGTTGGTTGGGGAAAGCAACTGGAAGAAATAGTGGAGATATCAGCCCCTGGACTGAGGAAGTGCAACCACTGCTTGTTACTTAGGTTCACAATTTGGGGTTCATGTTAGATCATAAGCAATATTTGGATGTGCAGACAGTATCAGTGACTAAAATTGCTGGTTTCTGTCCCCTTTTATCAATAAGGGTGCAATCTTTTCTTTCAGATACAGATCTTGTTGGAGTTATCCAGGCCTTTGTCATTGCGAGATTAGACTAATGAAATGTGTGCTACATCTTAAAATCACTTGGAAATGTAAATTAATGCAGAATGTGACTTCACGCTAAGTGGTGCTTCAAGTGGACATCACTTTACACATACTATATCCTGGTCTATTTTGGTTCCTGTACTGTGCACATCACTATGCTGCTCACCTGCACTCATAATCTGTGCTGCCTTCTGATTAGTTTCCAAGTGGAATTTAAGGTGTCAGCTTTGCCAATAAAGTCCTGAATGGTTTGGGACTTTCTCCTGGGAGAGATCAATATCTACTTGTGATACCACAGCAACTGCAATCAGCGGAGGTCTTCAAACAAACAGTCCCCTGCTTTCAAAGACAAGATAATGCTGGCAGAGAATTCTTTTGTGGATTCTTCAACTCTGGAATTCACAACTCCATTTGACCTGCCATATTCTGAATTTACGGATTTCTAGGGCATGCTGCAAGGCTGGTCTGTTTGGTTTTTGGGGAAGGGCTAAGTTGAGGAATATTTTGGCTCAGTTTGGGTTGTGATTTGTAATTTGTAGAATGATTCTGTGGGGAGAGCTTGATGCGGTGAAAATATCCTTGTGTGTGGGATTTTCATCACTGGGTTGGTGTATTTAAAATGATTATAAAAGCACCTTAAGCTTTATGAATCAGTGCTTTTTAAAAGACAAAGAAAGAATGCTGTCTTTTTCCCTTCTGTAGTTAAGGGTCTTTTGGGGCCAGATTTTCAAAGGCTTTTAGGCACCTAAAGATATAAATCAGGGGTAGACAACCTATGGCACGCGTGCCAAAGGTGGCACGCGAGCTGATTTTCAGTGGCACTCACACTGTCTGGGTCCTGGCCACCGGTCCGGGGGGCTCTGCATTTTAATTTTAAATGAAGCTTCTTAATCATTTTAAAAACCTTATTTACTTTACATACAACAATAGTTTAGTTATATATTACAGACTTTTAGAAAGAGACCTTCTAAAAGCGTTAAAATGTATTACTGGCACGCAAAACCTTACATTAGAGTGAATAAATGAAGACTCAGCACACCACTTCTGAAAGGTTGCCGACCCCTGATATAAATAAATGTCTACTGGGATTTTCAAAAGTACCTAAGCAGAATAATCCCCTAGCTCCCATTGAAATCAGGCGCCTAATCTGCTCAAGTGCTTTTGAAAATTCAGCGAAGTGTCTAGCTATATCTTTAGGTGCCTAAATATTTTTGAAAATCTGGCCCTTTGTCATTACATGGAATAATATTCTTTTTAATTCACCCATGCTAATTAAACTAAAGACAGTTGTACAGTAGAACCTGAGAGTTATGAACACCTCAGGAATGGAGCTTGTTCGTAACTCTAAAATGTTCATAATTCTGAACGAAAGGTGTGGTTGTTTTTTCAACAATTTACAACTGAACATTGACTTAATACAGCTTTGAAACTTTACTATACAGAAGAAAAATGCTGCTTTTAGCCATCTTAATTTAAATTAAACAAGCACAGAAACAGTTTCCTTACCTTGTCAAATCTTTTTTTTTAACGTTCCCTTTATTTTTTAGTAGTTTACATTTAACACAGTACTGCACAGTATTTGTGTTTTTTTTGTTGTTTTTTTTTGTCTCTGCTGGCTGATTGTATACTTCCGGTTCCAAATGGGGTGTGTGGTTGACCGGTCAGTTCTTAACGCTGGTGTTCTTAACTCTGAGGTTCTACTGTAAGTGCTTTACAAAAAGGGCCAATGTATTATTTGGAGTAGATTGAAGATTCCTACTCTAACCAGCCTATTCTGCACAATTTAAAATTGTATTACCTAATAACTTTATATTTTGGACTGCTTAAAAATTGTCAGTGGAAGGATTCCAGAAACCCAGAGGATCATAAATATTAGAGATGAAAAGACCTATTATATCAGGGATTCTGAAACACTTTCGTAATGTGGATCATATTTTAACATGAAGTATTTGTTGCATTGACCACCTCCCCTCCTGTTCACAACTGTGCAATATCACTGTGACAGCTACAGTCACTGCTTACATAAGAACATGGGAAAGTAATGTTAAGAAAGTATTTAATGTATATTTTTAGCTGTCTTATAATGCAGCATAGCAGCTGGAAACATTTGCCATCATATGACCAATCAGCTGTCCATGGACCATCAGTGTTCCACAGACCATAGTTTGAAAACTTTGGATTAGCTCATCCAATCCATTACCTTGTAAGATTGTTCCCTATTGTAAACTTTCTAGTGTTTTGTCCAGTGACATTTTAAAAGTTCCCAGAGATGTGGAAGGCTACTGCATGCCTATTGGATCTCACGTTCAGCAAGATTTTCCTGACATTAGCCTAAACCAATGGTTCTCAACCTATTTACCATTGTGGGCTGCATATGCAGCCCTCTGTGTGTTATGTGGGCCACATCCACACAATATATATACTACTTGTATGGCACTGAGGATGTCACATAGGCCACACATGTGCTGATTGGGCCGCAAGTAGCCCATTGGCTGCAGGTTGAGAACCACTGGCCTATATGCACTAAAAGGTTCATACAATGTACCTCATTCCCAATTTAAGACCAACCACTCAAGCCCAAAAAATGGAATTAGCTTCAGTCATTACTCATGATAGTGAGCTGTGCATAGCTATCATAGAGTTCTATGATATGACACAGTGGGGTTACAAAGTCACCCTGCAAATTCTCTGCTGCATAGCCCATCATATTCAGTGGAAACATGATGTTACTGCTGCATTTTTATGCTTTCCACACATGTGGAGGATAGGATTGAGTCAGTGGGTAGGATGGCAAGACTTATCTCCAGTATTTTGTAGGAAGCTTAAATTACCATTTTTCACTGATTTGAAATTAAAATATTATTGATTACAATTATTGAAAAGGTATTAGTCTTTGATGTTCCTATATGACTATGCTTCTGAAATTGTTTTAATGTGAAGACTGCCTTATTTTTTCCCGCACTAAGGGAAAACAGACTTCAGTAAGAGATTTTTTTACATATTGGTTGAAATCCTGGAGCTATGCATAGTTGCAGCATTTGAGGATGCGACCTGATTATTACTTTTATTTCCAGCACAGATATAAGTATACTGAATACCTTTAGCTAGGAATTTTGTTTGCTCTAAGTATAAGGCCACTCTCTTCTGAATGATGTTTTTGTAAGATGAATATGTCATTCATATTTTCTGGAAGAGTAAATTATCATAAGTCACCAAGACCAGATGTCATTCTTTGGAAAACTCTGAAGGATCTAAAAATTATAACAGCTGAACTAGCAAAAATATGACATGCTTTATTAAAACAGCTGCTATACCACTATTGTTTGTATAGTGCCTTGATGATAGAAAGTGCTACATAAGTCTTGAGAAGTATTATCATTATTACCAGGGAACTGGACAGTAGGCACCTTTTGAAAAGTTGCTAAGGATGATCTCAGGAATTAGGAACTGAGGAATCTTACTTTATTATCTGGGAAAGTAGGACTGCTGCTCAGGGCATTAGTAAGTTGTGATGGTTTGTGCATGAATCTGCATTGTTTAATCAAAAATACTGTTAACAGGTCGTTGTAAAAGAAGATGCTGAAGTTTTGGTGCTTTTTCCTCTTAAGCTTTCTCACGCAGCTTGATGCTAACCCTGGGCTCAAAGTGAGGATTACACAAAAAGGACTGGACTATGGTAAGCCAGAGGCTTCCAACAGTTACATTGCAATAGATTTTATTGGCATACTATATAGCATCCTTAATACATGCACAATGGGTGAAAACAAACTCCTGAAAGATTATGAGTCAATAGTAGTCTTAAGAGAAGGAAGGTTTAAAAGTGAAATTAGAACAGAGGAAGTAGTATGGAGTGAGGAAGTACAGGGTTCCAGATAGGCAAGGGAAGGGGCTAGTGAAAGAACAACTTTGTAAATATGGAGAGTCAAATGGCAAAGCAGAAAGCATTGCTGGAGCAGAGCAAGTGCATGGGGCAGCTGTTGATGTGATGTGAGGAAGGTAAAATGGAAGGTAAAAACCAGAGGAACAGTGTTTGAATTGAATCCAGGAATAATGCAGACAGAAAGCCAGTGAAGGTATTGCAGGATAGGATTAATTTGGTCCCAGCCAGCAAGTAACTTGATCAGTGTACTGGATCCTTGAAGTTAGGTAGTAGGCCATAAAAGAGGGAACTCAATGGTCGAGATGGGATATCATGGCCACCAGCCCCTGAATCAGTCAGGGAGCAGGGGTTAAGTGCAGGGCCTGCCAGCCTGTCCCCACCAGACTCAGGGAGCAGCCACTCCCAGGGCATGAGGCTCAGTACTCCTACCCCGTATGGTTATGTGGTTAAAACTCTGTAGGGCAGCTTATAAAGGCCCTTGACTTCACTCCAAGATTCCATTTACTGCCGGTGCCAAGAACCAACCAGGGATCTGGCCTTCATAGCCTTAGCCCACTGATGTAACTTACAAAGCATCAGCCTAGCATCAGGAGAGGAAGCAGAAACTTGTGTGAAAGAAATTGGCACGTCAGCCCCCTTCTTTGGTTTCCACCACATCATAAGCTGTTGCTCCAGCAGCTTCATCTACCTCCTTTATGGGTCCTCTTCCATCAGGCTGTGGCCTCCTCCAGGGGGAGCTCCTGGCCTCCTCAAACCTCCCAGAGCAAGAGCAGCCACAGCACAGCAGTTCTGATCACAGTCCTTTCAGCACTGACAGGTATCAGTTGTTCTTCCTTGAGTGACTGCAGATATGTATTCCACTCAGGGGTGTGCTCACCCAAGCCAGAAAGCCTTTTGCAGCAGTTCCCATCGGGGCAGTGCACCTGACATGCAGCCTATCCTGAGGCTATATAAGAACATCAGCACCCTGACACACAACCCCCCCCCCAGTTCTTACTGCCCATGGCCTGAGTTGGAATTCGCCGTACCATTCTCCTCGTGGTTTTTTCTTAGTCATAGTCAGCTTCCGCTGTCTGTAAACAGTTAGCAGTTAGTATCCTGTAGTTATGTTTTTCTTGAATTTTATCAGTTTTTCTTTATTATTTTATTGTTCGTTGGCTACCCAGTGGCTAGGCATCAAGGGCATGGAGTTCTCTCTGGGTTTCAAGCACTGCCCATCATGTGCACTATCTATACTTAATACTGACCCCCACAAACTCTGTTTATTGCCTCTTGGCGAGAGGCACATTGAGTGGGGTTGCATCTGCCGCACCCAGGGCCGGCTTTAGGAAGTGCGGGGCCCAATTCGAACATTTCTGACGGGGCCCCGGCAGGGATGACTTAAAAAAAAAAACCACATTAAAAAACCCCTTTCATTTCTTCCATGTATTATTTACTTTCCATAACTATATAAATAATAACAAAATTATATATTACATGCATTGCTGGCTGGAGGCAGGGCAGGGGTTGACTGTAGGTAGGGTCTGACTGGAGGCAGGGCAAGGGGTGCGGGGCTGGCTGCGGGTCAGGGCAGGGGCTGCGGGCTGGCTGCGGACAGGTCATGGGGTGCGGGGCT